CGAGAGAAGAGAGAGAGAGAGAGAGAGAGAGAGAGAGAGAGAGATGGAGAAACAGAGGACAGAGAGCAGAGACAGGAGGGGTTAAGAAACAGAGACAGAAAGATAACACATACACAGCACAATAACACGAGACACACACACACACACACACACGCACACACTCGTAGGCCGAAATAGTAAGATTCTAGGTCAATGGAGGTTCAAGTTTCAAAAGCGGCCTTTTATAAACCCAGCGGACACCCCCGGCACTAATGAGGCCACTATCATGGTGCGAGCGGTTGCTGGGGTTTACGATTGCATCACCTGGCCTTATCTTGGATGGTTTCTGAACTTGAGGTGCCTGCGAGTGATGGAGAATCGCCTCTGTTGTGCGTGTGTGGATGTGGATGGGAGGTGTTGTGAGATGTGGCGTGTTGTGTGGAGACTGTGTGTGTGTGTGGGTGTGGAGGGTGTGTGTGTGTGTGTGTGTTGTGTGTGTGTGTGTGTGATGTGTGTTGTGTGTTGTCGTCGTGCGTGTGTCTTTATTCGTGTGTCTACTTCTGTCTCTGTCGCTCTCTCTCCCGTCTGTCATCTCTCTCTCTCTCTCTCTCTCTCTCTCTGCTCTCTCCTCCCGCCCCTCTCTCTCATCTTCTCTCTCTCTCCTCTCTCTCTCTCTCTTCGTCTCTCTCTCTCTCTCTCTTTTCTCTCTCGTGTATGCGGAAGTCGGCGATAGTGTGATGTGTTGTGTGTGTGTGTTTGTCATGAAGGACAACACATCATGCTCATATAAGGTTACCTATTTGTGTCTTCTTTTTTTTTAGCATGACACATATCTTGTTATATATACAAATTGGGGGATTTTTGTTTCAATATACCTGGATATGGTTAGTATTTGAATATTTTTTTCAGCATTATTATTTCAATATATATCATACGACTGATTAAAAATGGATGGAAAATTATGGCTCATGAACTTTTAAATGTGTTTTGCGTTAATACAGTATTACTGTGATAAGAACTAACTTCATAAAATGTCAATTAATAAAAGGAGACAGAATGAGTCCAAACAACACTATAAAACGGAAAATATATTATTCAGAGTTCCAGTCAGTAATCAGAAAACCTTCTCTTATAAATCGAAAAAATTATTATACATCATTAATCTTACGCGTTTAATCAGACTCTCACATCAAGTGGAAATGTGAGTAAAGGTGCTGTCACACTAGCACTTTTTCCGTCATTTTTTTGACAATTTTATTTAACCTAAATACAAACATTCTCGAATATAACTCTTGATTTGACTTTGCTTGGCTGAAAAAAAAAAGTTGACGGAAAGGTTTTCAGACCGGAAACGATTCATTATTCGTCTGACTCTAATATTATCGACCAATTCGCTCAAATATGGACAAAAATTTCAGAAATTCGTAAAAAGTTGAGGGAAAAGTCGTAGTGTGATCGCACCTTAAAGAATTTAAACTTACCAATAAATGATTCGCAACTTTTTTTCGTCACTTATACCAGGAACAATTAACACTTATTTCGCTTATTGACACTTATTTCAGATTTAAGTGTTTCAGATAAAAGTATTTCGGAATAGGCTGAATGACGAGTTGTAGGCCTACATGGTAACAATTCGTGTCTTAGTGTGTTTATTTATGCTGTTGTAGTTGTTGTAGTTGTTGTTGTTATTGTTATTATTATCATTGTTGTTGTTATTATTATTATTGTTTGTGTTGTTGTTGTTGATTGTATTATCATCATTATTAAATTTTTCAACTATAATTATATCATTGATTATTAATATTATTGAACTTTATTATTTTACTTATATATTTATTATTATTTTAATATATCATATTATATATTATTATTATTATCATTATTATGTTTATTATTTTATTTTATTATTATATTATATATTTATTAAAGATTATTATTATTATATACTATTATTATATATTTATTATTATATTCATTATTATTATTATACATTATATATATTATTATTATTATTATTATTATATTATCATTACTATTATTGCTATTATTATTATTTATTATCATCACCATCATCCATCTTTTATCATTCTTGTTTTCACTATATTATATTATTGTTATTTATCATTTTATTATGATTATTATGATTATGCCATTACTGTACTACTTATATTATTATCATTATTATTATATTATTATATTATTATCATTATTTTTTTTTTTTTATTATTTATTATTATCAATTATTATTATTATTATTATTATTATTATTATTAATTATCATTATTATTATTATTATCATTGATTATCATTATTATTAGTATCGATTATCATTATCATTATCATCATATCAATCATGGACTTAATATTAGTTAATAGTACTAGTAGTAGTATAAGTCATTTAGTGTTTAGCTTGACTTTTTTACTTTCCAATTCGAAGACCAAAGTGCCAACATTTATCACGTCTCGCGTTCGTGATTTCTAACGTAATATTTATCCAATATTAGTTAAATCATACTTCGTCTGTTGCGGAATGTCTTGCAATTTGGAAAGTGACAGAGAGATAGAGAGATTGGATTATTAATGATAGAAAATTATATTAAGAGGATCGGGTATATAGGATAGATAGAGTGGTAGGGGCACAGATAGTTAAATAGAGAGAGCATCAATAGATAGATAGAAAGAGAGAAAAAAGAGAGAGTGTAGTGGACTGATAGGTAGATATAGAGAGGCAGAGATATAGATAGATAGATAGTAGAGAGAGAGAGAGAGAGAGAGGAGAGAATAGAGAGCGAGAGCAGAGAGAGAGGAGAGGAGAGAGATAGAGAAGAGAGAGAGAGAGAGAGGAGAGAGAGAAAGAGAGAAATAGATAGTGGCATGTAGCCACTGAACTGATTACACGATAGATAACTTTATCCGTATTCCGAATAAAATGTGGAATTTTCCTCCTCCTCACTGAATAGGGAAAAATCCAATGGACAATTAATAAACAGATAAATCAAATGATTAAATTGAATAATTAAAACAAAAACTTTAGATACAAATATTCCTATTTTGTTCTTTTCCTACCACCCCCACGAACACCGACCCCCCACCGCGCCCATCGAGACCGCGTAAATTAGTTTAATTAAATCATGTTTCATTAGGCTCTCATGCCTCATCCTCCTTTTCACTTTTTATTCTTTATATCCTTATTGCATCCTTTCTTCTCTTCTCCCTTTCTTCACGTTCAAGCCCATAGCATTTCCGGAAGCGAATACCCGTAAATATGTAGTCAATTTTCATATTTTATCAAAGTAACTGGCAACTCTAACCATGCCAGATGTGCGATGATTAATTTCATAAATCTAAGAAATTTAACCTCCAGTAAGTTTTGCTTTTAATCAGACTTTCAAATGAAGTGAAGCAGAAAGCGGTGACTTAGATTTACTTAAATAACAGAGGGATCGTGATGATGAAGTTGATATAATGCTGTTGATTAATTGATGATGAAATGGTATTACAAAATGAATATATGAGATAGCCAAAGAAAAAATATATATGTATATTCAATGATATTAATAATATGAGATGAATAAATGAAATAATGGATAATAATAATATAATAATAATAATAATAATAATAATTAATATATAACAATAATGATAATAAAGAATAACAATAAAGATTTTAAAAATAAAAGTTAACAGTAATAATGATAATCAAATAAGAATATCATCATACTATTAACTTTATTTTAATGATAATAACAATAATATGAATAAGAATAATAATGATAATATAAGAAGAACAAAACGTCAATTACAGCCCCCCCCCAAAAAAAAAATATGTATCATCACCATCCCATACCCCTTCCACCCTCCACCCTCCCCCCCAAAAAAAAAAAAAATCCATTGACCTGTTCGCCGAGCTGACCTCTCGTGGCGTGACCGAGCATACTGAGAGGTCATGACCCCGGCGGACTTTCATGGCAAGGAAAAGGGGCAGAAGGATGATTTATAGGAGAGACGGAGAGGAGGAGAGAACGAGAGGAAAAGAAGAGAAAGGAAGAGAAGAGAGGAGAAGAAAGGAAAGAAAGAGAAGAAAAGAAGAATGAAGAGAGGAGAAGAGAAAGAAAGAAGAGAAAGGAAGAGAAGAGAAGGGGAGAAAAAGGAAGAGAAGAGAAGAAAGGAGAAGAAAAAGGAAGAGAAGAGAAGAGAAGAGAGCAATTACGGCGAAGGAGGAATGATTATTTAATGGACTATAGGGATAGGATTATTTTAATTATTATTTATTTTTTTTTTATCGGAATGAAAGATTGTGTTTGTGAATGAATAGAGAAATTTTTGAT